CACGATCTCGGCTCATCGAAACCTCCGCTTCCCGGGTTCGGGCCATTCTTCTGCCTCAGCCTCTTGAGTAGCTGGGATTACAGGCATCTGCCACAATGTCCGGCTAACTTTTTTTTTTTTTTTTTGTATTTTTAGTGGAGGCGGTGTTTCAACATGTTGGACAGACTAGTCTCGAACTCCTGAACTTAGGTTATACACCTGCCTTGGTCCCAAAGTGCTGGGATTACAGGTGTGAGCCACCACACCTGGACTTTTTTTTTTTTCATTTGAGACAGTCTCCCTCTGTGTTATCCAGGCTGGAGTATAGTGGCATAATATGCAGCCTCTGCCTCCTGGATTCAAATAATTCTTGTGCCTCAGCCTCCGGAATAGCTGGGATTATAGGCATTCGCTGCCTAGCCCAGCTAATTTTTTGTATTTTTAATAGAGACAGGGTTTCACCATGTTGGCCAGGTTGGTCTCAAACTCCTGACCTCAGGTGATCTGCCCTCCTCGGCCTCCCAAAGTGCTGAGATAACAGATGTGAGTCACTGGGCCTAGCCTGTTCTGGTCTTTAATTCTCAAAACACTCTTTAGGAAATAGAGACTGCTATTCTCCCCCACTTTACAGATCAGGAAACTGAGTCCCAGAAGGATTAAGTCAGTTACCAAGTCATTCTAGTTAAATGGCCTGGAAAGCCACTGAAGCCCGGGAACGTCTGTGTCACCCCCTTACTACTCTGTCTTTGAGGGACTCGACATGAATATGCTGGGTCAGCCATCCAAGTAGAAGTCGATAAAGGGGGCTGGATTTGGTGGCTTAAGCCTGTAATCCTAGCACTTTGGGAGGCCGAGGTGGGTGGGTGGATCACTTGAGCCCAGGAGTTTGAGACCAGCTTGGGCAATGTAGTGAGACCCCCTATCTCTGCAAAAAAATAAAAATAAAAAAATTGCCAGGCGCGGTGGCTCAAACCCGTAATCCCAGCACTTTGGGAGGCGGAGGCGGGCGGATCACCTGAGGTCGGGAGTTCGAGACCAGCCTGACCAACATGGAGTAACCTCATCTCTACCAAAAATATAAAATTAGCTGGGTATGGTGGTGTATACCTATAATCCCAGCTACTCGGCAGGCTGAAGCAGGAGAATCGCTTGAACCTGGGAGGCGGAGGTTTTAGTGAGCCGAGATTGTGCCACTGCACTCCACCCTGGGTAACTAGAGTGAAACTCTGTCTTAAATAAATAAAGTTAGCTGAATGTGATGGTGCACGCCTCTAGTAGCAACTGCTCAGGAGGCTGAGGCAGGAGGATCACCTGAACCTGGGAGGTGGAGGCTGCAGTGAGCCTCAGTCATGCCACTGCACTTCACTGACAGAGTGAGACCCTGTGTCGGAAAGAAAAAGAAAAAAGACATACCTTTTGAAGTTAGGTTGTGTGTTAATTATCCACAGCTCAGTTTCCACTGTGCTGACAGGAGGAAATGACTCAGTTCTTGCTACGTATCAAACTAGCCCAAAACGTAGTGGCTGAAAACACATTTATGATTTCACGGTTTTGTGTGTTGGGAAGCAGCGCAGCTAGATGGTTCCAGCTCAGGGTCTCTCATGAAGTTGCAATGAAAATATTGGCAGGAGAGAAAATCATGTTTGCAGAACCTGCAGGCATAGGAAGCCTTGGCTGGGGCTGAAGGATCCACTTCCAAGATGGTGCACTCAATGGCTCTTGTCTGGCGGCCTCAGTTCCCTGCTGCATTGAGCACTCCCTCCAGCTGCTTGAGTGGACTCATGACAGGCAGCTGGCTGCCCCTGGAGCAGTTGATCCAACAATGAGCATGGCCATGAACTAGGCTCAAAAGCCACTCCCTGTCACCTCTACATTTTCCTATTAGAAGCAAATCATTGGCCAGGTGCGGTGGCTCACGCCTATAATCCCAGCACTTCGGGAGGCTGAGGCAGGTGGATCACGAGGTCAAGAGATTGAGACCATCCTGGTCACAAGGTGAAACCCCGTCTCTACTAAAAATACAAAAATTAGCTGGGCATGGTGGCACGCGCCTGTAATCCCAGCTACTTGGGTGGGTGAGGCAGGAGAATTGCCTGAACCCAGGAGGCGGAGGTTGCGGTGAGCCGAGATCGCGCCATTGCACTCCAGCCTGGGTAACGAGCGAAATTCCATCTCATTAAAAAAAAAAAAAAAATAGAAGCAAGTCGTTAAAGTCCAGTGCCACTCCAGGGGAGAGGAATTAGGCTCCAACTTCTGAAAAGATTATCACAGCATATGTGGTCATATATTCTTTTTTTTCTTCTTTTTCTATTTTTTTTTTTTGAGATGGAGTTTTGTTTTGCTCTTGTTGCCCAGGCTGGAGTGCAATGGTGCAATCTCGACTCACTGAAACCTCTGCCTCCCAGGTTCAAGTGATGCTCCCGCCTCAGCCTCCTGAGTAGCTGGGGTTACAGGCAGGCGCCACCAGGCCCAGCTATGGTTTTCAACCGTCATTCAAAACTCACTGATGTACATATGTGCCCAGGCATGTGGTGGCGTGTGCCTGTAATCCCAGCAACTAGGGGGACTGAGGCAAGAGGATTGCTTGAACCTGAGAGGTGGAGGTTGCCGTGGGCTGAAATCGTGCCACTGCACTCTAGCCTGGGCAACAGAGCAAGGCTTTGTCTCAAAAAAAAAAAAAAAGGCATTGGAGGGCTCTGTGTGATGTGGTGGCTCATGCCTGTATACCCAGCATATTGGGAGGCTGAGGAGAGAGGATCACTTTAGGAGTTCGAGATCAGCCTGGGCAACAGAGTGAGACCATGTCTCTACAAAAAACTCTGAAGTTATTGGAGCGTGGTGGCATGTGTTTGTAGTCCCATTTATATGGGAGGCTGAGGCAGGAGGATCACTTGAGCCCAGGAGGTCCAATCCAGGTTGCAGTAAGCCATGATCCTCCCACTGCACTCCAGTTTGGGTGACAGAGAGAAGCTGTCTCAAGAAAAGAAAAAAAATGTATATTCTAAATCCAAATTTAATGTATAAAACTAAATACAGGCCAAGCGTGATGGCTTATGCCTATAATCACAACACTTTGGGAGGCTGAGGTGAGAGGATTGCTTGAGCCCAAGAGTTGAAGACCAGCCTAGCTAACACAGTGAGACCCCATCTCTACAAAAGGTAAAAAAATTAGCTGGGCATGGTGGTGAGCACTTTTAGTTTAACCACTTAGGGGACTGAGATGGAAGGACTGCTTGAACCTGAGTTTGAGGCTGCGGTGGGCCATGATCGCACTGCACTCCAGCCTGGGCTCTAGAGTGAGACCCTGTCTGAAAACAAAAAGAAAAGGAAAGAAAACTAAATATATTCAATAAGATTTTGATCTCTTTTCCAAGGTGTAAATATAATATATTTTGGGAAATTTCCCACTTATTTTGTTCTCATTTTGATGTAATAATCCATGTCTTAGTTTTCCAAGGAAAAGTTTTCTCTTATTATATCGTTCGTTAATGTTTCTGTCCCATTTCCTTTGATTTGATCTTCAGATACATGATTATCTTCACTGCTAAATCTGTGTTCTCTGGCCTCTGCATTTATAATGTCTCGTAATTCTTTTTCTTTTTCTTTTCTATCTTTTTTCTCCTGAAAACTTTTGAAAAATTTTTTTTTTTTTTTTTGCTCTTGTTGCTCAGGCTGGAGTGCAATGGTACGATCTCAGCTCACCACAACCTCAGCCTCCCGGGTTCAAGTGATTCTTCTGCCTCAGCCCCCCAAGTAGCTGGGATTACAGGCTTGCACCACCACGTGCAGCTAATTTTGCATTTTTAGTAGAGACAGGGTTTCTCCATGTTGGTCAGGCTGGTCTCAAACTCCTGACCTCAAGTGATCCACCTGCATCAGCCACCGCTCCCAGCTCTCATAATTTTTTTTTTTTTTTTTTTTTGCCTGTAAGTTAAATTTTTATTGTTCTCATAATTCTTTATCTAAGTATTTCTTCCCTACCTACTAAAGTCATGTTTCTTCCACATTAATGATTATGCTGTGTCTGTCAGTTTTTTCATGACTGCTTACATTACAAGATTGTTTTTTTTTAATGATCAGGTGGATAGAACAGCACAGGTTTTGTTTGTTTTGTTTTCATTTTTTTTTTTTGAGATGGAGTTTCGCTGGTTACCCAGGCTGGAGTGCAATGGTGCGATCTCGGCTCACCGCAACCTCCTCCTCCTGGGTTCAGGCAATTCTCCTGCTTCAGCCTCCTGAGTAGCGGGGACTACAGGCGCGCACCACCATGCCCAGCAAATTTTTGTATTTTTAGTAGAGATGGGGTTTCACCTTGTTGACCAGGATGGTCTCAATCTCTTGACCTCGTGATCCACCCGCCTCGGCCTCCCAAAGTGCTGGGATTATAGGCGTGAGCCACCGCGCCCAGTCAATTTTTTTTTTAAAGACAGGGTTTCACCATGTTGGTCAGGCTGGTCTTGAACCCCCGCCCTCAGGTGATCTGCCCACCTTGGCCTCGAAAGTGCTTGGATTACAAGTGTGAGCCACTGCACCCAGCCTGTTTTAATTGTTTTTTAATTATAATAAATAAAGGGTCTCACTATGTTGTCCAGGCTGGTCTCATACTCCTGGGCTCAAGCAGTCCACCCACCCCTGCCTTCCAAAGTGCTGGGATTACAGGCATGAGCCACCTCTCCTGGGTAGTACAGGTTTTTAATATGCCAAATACTCTTCCTTTCTTTATTAATGTGCATGGAAGTTCTAATGTTTTTTCCCCATACCCGAGAGAGTCCATATTCTGGAATCAACATCAGCCTTTGCTGACAAGTGTCTCTCTTGGGTTTCTTCTTTGCATCCTCCACTGTATTTGGGGTTTCATAACATTTTATTTGTTTCACTGGGTTAATTTCCTGGAAATCAGACTGCTCCTGATAGGATGACTTTCTGGCTAATATTTTAGTTGGCAGGAAATAGGCACAGGAAACATGGTCAGTTTCTGATTCGGGTGTTGAGTAACCCTTTCTCCTTTCTCTCCCTCTCAGTGGGCAACAGATGTGAAAGAAATGAGTTCCAGTGCCAAGACGGGAAATGCATCTCCTATAAGTGGGTCTGTGATGGCCGCCCAGAGTGCCAGGATGGCTCTGATGAATCCCAGGAGACGTGCTGTGAGTCCCCTTTGGGCGTGATGTGCTTCTCCTTTTTGTAATAGAGATGGGGTTTTGGCTGGGCACGGTGGCTCACACCTGTAATCCCAGCATTTCGGGAGGCCGAGGCTGGCGGATCACGAGGTCAGGAGATCGAGACCATCCTGGCCAACGTGGTGAAACCCTGTCTCTACTAAAATACAAAAAAAACTTAGCTGGATGTGGTGGTGCATGCCTGTAGTCCCAGATACTCAGAAGGCCGAGGCAGGAGAATTGGTGGAACCCGGGAGGCAGAGGTTGCAGTGAGACAAGATTGCACCACTGCATTCCAGCCTGGCAAAAGAGGGAGACTCCGTCTCAAAAAAAAAAAAAAAAAAAATAGAGATGAGGTTTTGCTATATTGGCCAGGCTGGTCCTGAACTTCTGGTCTCAAGTGATCCACTGGCTTCAGCCTCCCCAAGTGCTGGGATTACAGGCACCACGCTGGCCTATGACACCATTCTTAACCTTTTTTTGATGGTGGCAGCTGGAAAAGTGGCCAGTGGATTTTGATGTATTCATTCATGAGTTTGAAGGTGGGGAGAGAAGGAATTACTGGAGCTTTCCTTAAAGTGATTAAATGAATTTATTATTTTTTCAACTGATGTGAAATTCACATAACATGAAATTAACTAGCGTAGTGGCATTAATACATTTGCAATGGTGTGTGGCCACCACCTCTATCTCGTTCCAAAACTTTGCATAACCTAATGTCTTTTTCTTTTTTGAGTTGGAATCTGATTCTGTTGCCCAGGCTGGAGTGCGGTAGCACAATCATAGCTCACTGCAGCCTTGATCTTTTGGGCTCAAGCAATCCTCTTGCCTCAGCCTCCCAAAGTATTATAGGTGTGAGCCATTGCAGTCAGCCTAATGTCCAATTTTTTTTTTTTTTTTTTGAGACGGAGTTTCGCTCTTGTTATCCAGGCTGGAGTGTAATGTCGCGATCTCGGCTCACCGCAACCTCCACCACCTAGGTTCAGGCAATTTTCCTGCCTCAGCCTCCTGAGTAGCTGGGATTACAGGCACGCGCCACCATGCCCAGCTAATTTTTTTTTTTTGTATCTTTAGTAGAGATGGGGTTTCACTGTGTTGACCAGGATGGTCTCGATCTCTTGACCTCGTGATCCACCCGCCTCGGCCTCCCAAAGTGCTGGGATTACAGGCTTGAGCCACTGCGCCCGGCCCCTAATGTCCAATTTTTAACAAGCTTCATTAAATGTCTTCTGGTTTTTTTTTTGTGTGTGTGTGTTTTTTTTAGAGACGGGGTTTCACCATGTTGGCCAGGCTAGTCTCAAACTCCTGACCTCAAGCAATCCACCTGCCTCAGCCTCCCAAAGTGCTGGGATTGCAGGCATGAGCCACTGCGCCCTGCCAATGCACTTTGTTTTGACTCAGAAAAGGGTAGAGTTGGCCGGACACAATGGCTCGTGTCTGTAGTCCCAGCTACCTTGGAGTCTCAGGCAGCTCTTCACTTTTGCTGAGGAGTTGAGGGTCACTTGGGTGACATGGCTAGACCCCATCTCTAAAAAATAAATTATAAATACATATTTTTTTTCTTTAAAAAAAGAATGGGGGCCTGGCGAGGTGGCTCACACTTGTAATCCTAGCACTTTGGGAGGCCAAGGTGGGCGGATCATGAAGTCAGGAGTTCGAGAACAGCCTGGCAAACATAGTGAAACCCATCTCTACTAAAAGAAAAAAATACAAAAAATTAGCCAGGTATGGGGGTGGGTGCATGTAATCCTAGCTACCTGGGAGACTGAGACAGGAGAATTGCTTGAATCCAAGAAGTGGAGGCTGCAGCAAGCTGAGATCAAGCGACTGCACTCCAGACTCCAGCCCGGGTGGCAGTGCGAGACTCTGTCTCAAAAAAAAAAAATTGGAGGCCAGGAGTAGTGGCTCATGCCTATAATCCCAGCACTTTGGGAGGCTGAGGTGGGTGTGTCACTTGAGGCCATGAGTTTGAGACCGGCCTGGCCAACATGGTGAAACTTCATCTCTACTAAAAAAAAAAAAAAAAAAAAAAGTGGGATTGATGTTGTCTTGAAAGTTCTGGGGTTTTCCTTTGCCAAGACAGGATTGGCGAGACCAGGGGTCTTTTTTTTTTTTTTTTTTTCTTTTTGAGATGGAGACTCACTCTGTCACTTAGGCTGGAGTGCAGTGGTGCAATCTTGGCTCCCCGCACCGCCACCTCCTGGGTTCCAGTAATTCTCCTGCCTCAGCCTCTCGAGCAGCTGGGACTACAGACACCTGCCACCACACCCAGCTAAGTTTTGTATTTTTAGTAGAGATGGGGTTTTGCCATGTTGGCCAGGCTGACCTCAGGTGATCCGCCCACCTCGACCTCCCACAGTGCTAGGGTGACTGGCACGAGCCACCGCCCCTGGCCTCAGTGGGTCGTTTCTTTGAGTGACAGCTCAATCCTGTGTCTCCTATAGTGTCTGTCAGCTGCAGATCCGAGGACTTCAGCTGTGGGGGCCGTGTCAACCACTGCATTCCTCAGCTCTGGAGGTGCGATGGCCAGGTGGACTGTGAGAACGGCTCGGACGAGCAAGGCTGCGGTAAGTGCGGCCCTGCCTTTGCTGTCAAGCCCATCTGGGTCCTAGGGAGTGGTTTGACTTTGTCTCTACGTGGTCCTGCTCAAGCTGTAGGCCAGCTTCCCCTCCCTGGGCTCCATCTTTTGGGGGCTCATACCAAGCGTCTTCTGCCCCTCAAAACTTCCCTTGACCAGGAGGCATTACAGAGCGGGGATGGGGCCACCTCTTCGGGTTGTCAAGCACAGTCAGGGAAGCTGTCCCTGCCCAGGGCTGGCCACCTGGTACACATACTGGCAAGCCACTGTGATCCCCACTGGCCGGTCGCCCCATGAGGCTGAACATATAGTGACACTTGCTAGCCACGCCTCAGTGACCCATGTAACCACAAAGGGGTAAAAGCTAGAAAGTTCTGCCGAGGAGCAAGGTCAAGAATCATGAACAGAAACGGGCTCTGAAGCCTGGCGTCTTCTTGGCTGTCTTTATACGGTTGGCACATCCTAAATCCAAAAACCCGAAATCCATAGTGCTCCAAAATCGGAAACTTCCTGAACACTGACATTTAGAAGGAAATGCTTATCGGAGCATTTTGGATTTTGCATTTTAGGATTTCAGGTATTCAATCACTATTAAGTGTGGAGTCGTAATTAGGAAAAGGAGGTGAGGCTGGCCAAACCAAGGGAAAGCAAGGAAAGAACGCAGGTAGGGCCGGGCGCAGTGGCTCACGCCTGCAGTCCCAGCACTTTGGGAGTCCGAGCCGGTGGATCACCTGAGGTCAGGAGTTCAGACCAACCTGGCCAACATGGTAAAACCTCATCTCTACTACAAATATAAAAACTAGCTGGGCGTGGTGGCGCGTGCCTGTAGTCCCAGCTACTTGGGAGGCCGAGACAGGAGAGTCACTTGAACCCGGGAGGTGGAGGTTTCAGTGAGCTGAGATCGTGCCACTGTACTTCAGCCTGGGGGATAAGAGCAAAACTCTGTCTGCCTTTCTTCATGGTCCAGAACAGACAGCCCTCCTGTGTAAATAACTCCCCATCTTCCTGTGCCCAGCTATCACCAGACACCTCAGCTGATAGAAAATTGCAAGTTAGCGCACTACAGCCGAGAATTGTCAGAACTGCACAATTCAGCTCATGCATCAGCGTCATTCCACAAAAGTCCCAGCAGGCCTCTGTCCCCTGGCAGGCAGCTCCTCTCTTGCTGACCTGCCCGTTGCTTCCTTGCAACATATTTTCTTACTTTCTGGAATAAATCTGTCTTTCTTGACCTACAACTGCCCTTTTTTTCTTCATATTTTTTGAGATGTAGTCTCTGTTGCCCAGGCTGGAGTGCAGTGGTAGAATGTTGGCTGACTCAACCTCCACCTCCTGGGTTTGAGCGATTCTCCTGCCTCAACCTCCCGATTTGCTGGGATTACAGGGGTGCACCACCACGCCCGGCCTTTTTAAATTTTTTATTATTATTATTTTTTGAGACCGAGTTTCGCTCTTGTTACCCAGGCTGGAGTGCAATGGCGCGATCTTGGCTCACCGCAACCTCCGCCTCCTGGGTTCAAGCAATTCTCCTGCCTCAGCCTCCCAAGTAGCTGGGACTACAGGCACGCACCACCATGCCCAGCTAATTTTTGTACCTTTAGTAGAGACGGGTACTACTTCACCATGTTGGCCAGGATGGTCTCGATCTCTTGACCTTGTGATCCACCCGCCTCGGCCTCCCAAAATGCTGGGATTATAGGCGTGAGCCACCGCGCCCGGCCTGTTACTCTTTTTTCTTTAAAGATGGGGTTCTACCATGTTGGTCAGTCTGGTCTTGAACTCCCAACCTCAGGTGATCCTCCTGCCTTGGTCTCCAAAGTGCCTGGATTATAGGCATGAGCCACCATGCCCAGCCATTTTTGTATTTTTAATAGAGATGGGGTTTCACCATGTTGGCCAGGCTAGTCTTGAACTCCTGACCTCAAGTGATCTGCCCGCCTCAGCCTCCCAAAGTGCTGGGATTCCAGGCGTGAGCCACTGAGCCCGGCTGTACCTACCTACAACTGTCTTGATAAATTCTTGTTACCCCCCACACCACTGGTCCAGATAGCCAGACATTCCACAATCCAGAAAAATATTCCAAATCTGTAAATATTCCAAAATAAAAAAAATCCAAAATGCTTCTGCTTCCAAGCGTTTCAGAGAAGGGAAAGTCAACCCCAAATAATGGCGGCAATCCTGTAAATAAAGGGCGCTGCCATCACGAGATCTCAGTTGAACAGTTAATGCCTATTAATGCACCAGTCCTGGTAGCAGTGCTGGGAGATGTGTACAGAAGGGGAAACTGAGGCACAGAGAGGGCAGTGCTTCATCAGAGTGCAGGGCCTCTGACTGCTTCCTCTCCAGCCCACCTCTCCAGGGCCCTGGCCTCTCTGTGGCAGCATCCTCGGCTGTAGAATGGGCTGGTGTCAGGAGGGCTTCACGGTGACAGTGGTCTTGGCCCCTCCTTCCCTGCAGTCCCCAAGACGTGCTCCCAGGATGAGTTTCGCTGCCACGATGGAAAATGCATCTCCAAGCAGTTCCTCTGTGACTCAGAACCAGATTGCTTGGACGGCTCAGACGAGGACTCCTGCCCGATGGTCACCTGCGGCCCCGCCAGCTTCCGTTGCAACAGCTCCACTTGCATCCCTCAGCTGTGGGCCTGTGACAACGACCCCGATTGCGAAGATGGCTCGGATGAATGGCCGGAGCGCTGTGGGGGTCTTGACGTGTCCCAACAGAACAATGGCCCCTGCTCGGCCTTCGAGTTCCAGTGTCGAAGTGGCGAGTGCATCCACTCTGGCTGGCACTGTGATGGCGACCCCGACTGCAAGGACAAGTCTGACGAGGATAACTGCAGTATGGGCACAGCTGGGGGCAGGGAGGGGCCGGGCAGGGGGTGGGACGCTCCATCACCTGTCCCCAGGCTTCTGCAGGTGTGGGACAGGCAGTGACTTAGGTGCTGAAGTGGATTTTGAACCACATGGCGAGAAACCATTCCCATTTCATGTTTGTTTCTTTTGTTTGTTTATTTGTTTTTTTAGGTGTAGTCTTGCTCTTTTGCCCAGGCTGGAGTACAGTGGTGCGATCTTCGCTCATTGCAACCTCCCCACCTCCTGGGTTCAAGCAATTCTCCTGCCTCAGCCTCCCAAGCAGCTGGGATTACAGGCGCCTGCCACCACGTCCGACTAATTTTTGTCTTTTTAGTAGAGGCGGGTTTAACCATGTTAGCCAGGTTGGTCTTGAACTCCTGACCTCAGGTGATCTGCCCGCCTTGGCCTCCCAAAATGCTGGGATTACAGGAGTGAGCCACCACACCTGGCCTCTTTCTTTTTCTTTTTGAGACAGTGTCTTGCTCTGTTGCCCGGGCTGGTGTGCAGCAGCAATCACGGCTCACTGCAGCCTTGGCCTCCTGGGATCAAGTGATCCTCCCTCCTTAGCCTCCAAAGCCGCTGAGGCTGTAGGCCTGTGCCACCATGCCTGGTCCGTTTTGTGTCTTTTTTAGTCTTTCTGATAACAATGAAGAGGGGGCAGCCCCCAAAGCAGACTTCGTCTTTAATGCCTAGTGAGTCTTTTTTTGAGATGGAGTCGTGCTCTGTCACCCAGGCTGGAGTGCAATGGCACAATCTCGGCTCACTGCAACCTCCACCTTCCAGGTTCAAGCAATTCTCCTGCCTCAGCCCCCCATGTAGCTGGGACTACAGGCTCCTGCCACCGTGCCCAGCTAATTTTTCTATTTTTAGTAGAGATGGGGTTTCACCATATTGGCCAGGCTGGTCTCCAACTCGCGACCTCAATTGATCCTCCTGCCTTGGCCTCCCAAAGTGCTGGGATTAGAGGCATGAGCACTGCCCAGCTAAAGGCCCTGGTCCTTTTTCTCTGGTGTCTCTTCTTGGAATAATCAATACTCTGTCCTGTTTTCCAGCTGTGGCCACCTGCCGCCCTGATGAATTCCAGTGCTCTGATGGAAACTGCATCCACGGCAGCCGCCAGTGTGACCAGGAGAATGACTGCAAGGACATGAGCGATGAAGTTGGCTGTGTTAATGGTGAGCACCGTCCATCTGGTTTCCTGCCCCCCATTCTCCATGCCTTCCTGTTTGCAAATGATTTGTGAAGTTAGAGGGCACGTCCCAGGTCAGCTCTGCACCAGCTATGTATCCCTGGACAAGTGATTCGACTCCCCAGAGCCTCACTTTTTTTGTGTGTGTGTTGGAGATTGCTCTGTTGCCCAGGCTGGAGTGCAGTGGCGTGATCTCAGCCTACGGCAGCCTCCGCCTCCTGGGTTCAAGCAATTTTCCTGTCTCAGCCTCCCAAGTAGCTGGGATTACAGGAGCGCCCCCCTCCACGCCCAGATAATTTTTGTATTTTTAGTTGACATGGGTTTCATCATGTTGGCCAGGCTGGTCTCGAACTCCTGACCTCATGAGATCTGCCGGCCCTGGCCTCCCAAACTGCTGGGATTACAGGTCACTTCTACTTACCTAAAAAAATGTGCATAATGATAGCACAGTCTTCAGGACTGTGAGATTTCATAAGATTGCTGTGTGCAGAGTTTGTGTCTTTGTACGCAATGCAACATAAAGCATTTTCCCAAATTCCCAAAGCAACAGCGCCACCTTTGGGAACGTAGGCAGGACGTAACTGTACCAGGAGAGACAAGTGGCATTTCAGCTTGCACAGTAGCGTCTACTGGCAAAATCTAGAGTAACCAGAGGTTCATCAGTATAGAATTAATTTTTAAGTACAAAATATACCAGCCCATTCTACCCTAGAGATGGGGTGGTGGGGGTTTCACCATGTTGATCAGGCTGGTCTCGAACTCCTGACTTTAAGTGATCTGCTTACCCGGGCCTTCTTTTTTTTTTGAGACGGAGTTTCGCTCTTGTTACCCAGGCTGCAGTGCAATGGCGCGATCTTGGCTCACCACAACCTCCGCCTCCTGGGTTCAGGCAATTCTCCTGCCTCAGCCTCCCGAGAAGCTGGGACCACAGGCACGCGCCACCATGCCCAGCTAATTTTTTTATTTTTAGTAGAGACGGGGTTTCACCATGTTGACCAGGATGGTCTCGATCTCTTGACGTCGTGATCCACCTGCCTCAGCCTCCCAAAGTGCTGGGATTACAGGCTTGAGCCACCGCACCTGTCCGCCATGTTTTCTTAATGAATCCATTTGCATGCATACCTGTGTGAATGAACTATTATATGAATGAGTGCTAAGCGGACTGCAGCTCAGACACACCCGACCTTCCTCCTTCCTCTCTCTGGCTCTCATAGTGACACTGTGCGAGGGGCCCAACAAGTTCAAGTGTCACAGTGGCGAATGCATCGCCCTGAACAAAGTCTGCAACTCAGCTCGAGACTGCCGGGACTGGTCGGATGAACCCCTCAAGGAGTGCGGTGAGCCTTGGGGAGCCCCAGGTGCAGGCGGCTTGCAGAGCTGTGGGAGCCAGGAATGGGACTGAGACATGCGTGTTTGGGATGCTGGGATCTCCACTCTGCCCACCCTGTGCAAAGGGCTCTTTTTTTGTTGTTGCCTGGGCTAGAGTGCAATGGCGCGATCTCGGCTCACTGCAGCCTCTGCCTCCAGGTTCAGGTGAGTCTCCTGCCTCAGCCTCCTGAGTAGCTTGAATTATAAGCACCTGCCACCATACCTGGTTAATTTTTGGATTTTTAGTAGAGACAGGGTTTCACCATGTTAGCCAGGATGGTCTTGATGTTCTGACATCGTGATCCACCTGCCTCCGCCTCCCAAAGTGCTGGGATTACAGGCGTGAGCCACCGCGCCCAGCCGAAAAGGGCAAAGCCAGAAAAAAAAAAAGCAAATTCTAAAATGTCTAAATTCTTTTCCTTGGATACCTGCTTCTATCTTGAGGGTTTTTTGGAAACCGAGTCTCACTCTGTCTCCCAGGCTGGAGTGCAGTGGCGCAATCTCAGCTCACTGCAACCTCCACCTCCCAGGTTCAAGTGATTCTCCTGCCTCCGCTTCCTGAGTAGCTGGGATTACAGGCATGAGCCACCTCGCCCAGACAATTTCTCTTTTTATGTTTCTTCTCAAGTATTTAAACATGTAAAAGCCATTTTTAGGCCTGACGGGATGGTTGATGCCTGTAATCCCAGCACTTTCGGAGGCTGAGGTGGGTGGATCACTAGATGTCAGGAGTTCGAGACCAACCTAGTCAACATGATGAAACCTTGTCTCTACTAAAAATAGAAAAATTAGCCAGATGTGGCATGCACCTGTAATCCCTGCTGCTCAGGAGGCTGAGGCAGGAGAAATGCTTGAACCCGGGAGGTGGAGGTTGTAGTGAGCTGAGGTCGCACTACTGCACTCTAGCCTGGGCAACAAAGTGAGAGTCCATACCTGTCCTATTATTATTATTTATATCATAAAATGTGCCATCTCAGCTATTTGTAGGTGCATAGTTCGGTGGCCTTAAGCACATTCACACTGTTATGCACGTACCACCGTTCCCACCATCCATTTCGAGAACATTTTTTTTTGAGATGGAGTTTCACTCTTGTTGCCCAGGCTGGAGTGCAATGGTGCAATCTCAGCTCACCGCAACCTCCGTCTCCCAGATTCAAGCAATTCTCCTGCCTCAGCCTCCTGAGCACAGGCATGTGCTGCCATGCCCAGCTAATTTTGTACTTTTTAGTAGGGACAGGATTTCTCCATGTTGGTGAGGCTGGCTGGTCTTGAACTCCCGACCTCAGGTGATCCACCTGCTTTGGTCTCCCAAAGTGCTGGGATTACAGGCATCAACCATCCCGTCAGGCCTAAAAATGGCTTTTACATGTTTAAATACTTGAGAAGAAAAATAAAAAGAGAAATTGTCTGGGCGAGCTTGAGCCACCATGCTTGGCCCAGAATTTGTTTTTTGTTTTGTTTTTTTTTGGAGAAGAGTCCCGCTCTGTCACCCAGGCTGGAGTGCAGTGGCACGATCACGGCTTACTGCAACCTCTGCCTTCCAGGTTCAAGCAGTTCTCCTGCCTCAGCCTCCTGAGTAGCTGGCATTACAGGCACCCACTCTCTCACCCACCTAATTTTTATAGTTTTACTAGAGACCGACCAGGTTTCATCATGTTGGCCAGGCTGGTCAGGTTTCGAACTCCTGACCTCAAGTGATCCTCCCACCTTGGCCTCCTAAAGTGCTGGGAATACAAGCATGAACCACCATGCCCAGCCCCAGAACTCTTTTATCTTCCCAAACTCCCATGAAACACTCACTCCCCATTCCCCTCCCTAACCCCTGGCACTTTCTGTCCCTCTGAATGTGGCGACTCTAGGGACCTCCTTTTGGTGGAATCAGACGGTATTTCCCTTTTTTGGCTTATTTCACTGAGCCAGGCGTGGTGGCTCATGCCTGTAATCCTAGTGCTTTGGGAGGCCAAGGTGGGCAGATTGCTTGACCTCAGGAATGAGACCAGCCTGGGCAACATGGCAAAATCCTGTCTCTTAAAAAAAACACACAAAAACTTACGTGGCTGGGCACGTTGGCTCATGCCTATAATCCTAGCACTTTGGAAGGCCAAGGTGGGCGGATCATTTGAGGTCAGGAGTTTGTGATCAGCCTGACCAACATGGTGAAACCCCATCTCTGCTAAAAGCACAAAAAGCTCATGCCTGTAGTCCCAGCTATTTGGGAGGGTAAAGCAGGAGAATCACTTGAATCCAGGAAGTGAAGGTTGCAGTGAGCCAGGATCACACCACTACACTCCAGCCTGGGCGACAGAGCGAGACTCGGTCTTGGGAAAAACAAACAAACCAAAAAAAACCCCAAAATGTCCTTAGGGTTCCTGGGCGGACTGGCAGGTCACGTGGTTATTGAACTCCTCTAATGAGTTCTGCTGCTACCCAGCCTCTAAGTAACTTCGAGCGGGATACCATTGCTGAAATAACACAGGTTGGCTGGGAAGGGATGGGTGGAGGCCCGAGAGTGACCACTCTGTGTCCCCTGCCGCTGCACAGGGACCAACGAATGCTTGGATAACAACGGCGGCTGCTCCCACATCTGCAACGACCTTAAGATTGGCCACGAGTGCCTCTGCCCCGACGGCTTCCAGCTGGTGGCCCAGCGAAGATGCGAAGGTGATTCCCGGGTGGGACCGAGCCCTGGGCTGCCTTGGCACTTCGCAACATGGCCACCAGACGCCTTGTGCCTCAGTTTCCCCATCTGTTAAGTGGGCATGAAAGCAGTTATGAGGGTTTCATGAGATTGCACCGGGCATGGGAAACGAGCACTGGCTGCCCAGAGGTCCTTGCCTCTGGGGATTACTGGTTAAGACATTTCAGCTGACACAGCTTCACACTCTTGGCCGGACTCCCATGGGAATGGTGAGGTCGGGTCCCGGCTGAGTCCCTGGCACTCAGAGGGGCTGGGCTCTCCCTTGGCTCCCTTTGAAGGTGTGGGTTTTGGCCTGGGTCCCACTGATCCGTGTCCAGCCATTGGAGAAGAGCCCTCCCCCCAACCAAGCCTCTTTCTCTATCTCCCAGATATTGACGAGTGTCAGGACCCTGACACCTGCAGCCAGCTCTGTGTGAACCTGGAGGGCAGCTACAAGTGCCAGTGTGAGGAAGGCTTCCAGCTAGACCCCCACACCAAGGCCTGCAAGGCTGTGGGTAAGCACGGACAGGTGGCGGCGGGTGGGGTCAGCCTCACCCCTTGCAGGCAGATATGGTGGGAGTTTCATCACCTGAACTTTGCACGATTCACATCCCCTGACCAGGACGCTGTCTGCTCCCAAGGGCTCTGGCAGGGAGTTTGCTGCCCTGTGAGGACTTGGGCTTCCAAGTCAGGGGGATGCCTGCATGCGTCCTAGGTTTTAGAAATACCCAGTTAAGGCCAGGCAAGGTGGCTCACGCCTGCAATCCTAGCACTTTGGGAGGGTGAGGTGGGTGGATCACCTGAGATCGGGAGTTCAAGATGAGCCTGGCCATCATGGTGAAACCCCATCTTTAAATAAATAAGTATCCAGTTAAAGGCAGCCAGATGAGGTGACTCACATCTGTAATCCCAGCACTTTGAGAGGCCGAGGCAGGCGGATCACAAGGTCAGGAGTTTGAGACAAGCCTGACCCCGCCTCTACTAACAATACAAAAATTAGCTGGGCACACGCCTGTAATCCCAGCTACTTAGGGGGCTAAGGCAGGAGAATCGCTTGAACCCAGGAGGTAGAGGTTGCAGTGAGCCAAGATCACGCCACTGAACTCTAGCCTGGGCAACAGAGCGAGACTCCATCTCAAATAAAAAAAAATCCAGTTAATGGAACCCCCAGTCCTGCTGGTGGAACAGGAACCGGCTTTCCTTTCTGTGACAATCTGGGGAGTGACTTCAAGGGGTTAAATAAACAAAATATGCAGGGCGTGGTGCCACATACCTGTGGTCCAGGTACTCCGGAGGCTGAGGCAGGAGGATCACTTGAGGCCAGGAGGATTGTTTGATCCTCCCACCTCAGCCTCCAGAGTAGCGGGAACCTCAGATGCCACCACGCCCAGTAATTTTCGTAGTTTTAGTAGAGGTAAGACAGGGTTTTACCATGTTGGCCAGGCTAGTCTTGAACTCTTGGACTCAAGCGATCCTCCTGCCTTGGCATCCCAAAGTGCTGGGATTACAAACACTGCAGCCATCTGTTATATTTTAGAGACAGAATCTTGCTCTGTCTTCTAGCCCATAGCACAGTGCAGCCTCTGGAGTAGCTGGGACTACTGGCATGTGCCACCATGCCTGGCTAGTTTTTTGTTTGTTTGTTTGAGAGAGTCTTACTCTGTTGCCCAGGCTGGAGTGCAGTGGTGCCATCATGGCTTATTGTAGCCTCCACCTCCCAGGTTCAAGCAATTCTCCTGCCTCAGCCTTCCAAGTAGTTGAGATCACAGGTGCCCACCGCCATTCCCGGCTAGTTTTTGTACATTTAGTAGAGACAGGGTTTCACCATGTTGGTCAGGCTGGTCTCGAACTGCTGACCTAAAGTGATTCGCCCACCTCAGCCTCCGAAAGTATTGAGATGACAGGCATGAGCCATCACACCCCAGCTTCTTTTTTTTTTAAATTTACTTGTGGCAGTAGGGTCCATTGTGTTGCCCAGGCTGGTCTTGAACTCCTAGCCTCAAGTGATCCTCCTGCCTTGGCCTCCCAAAATGCTGGGATCACAGGCGGGCGCCACTGTGCCTGTTCCCATAGGGAGATCTTTTCCACCCTGTTTTTCTGGGTGCCTCCTGGCTCAGCTGCACCCTGTGGGGTAACACGAGGTAATGGGGAGGCACTCTCCGTTCCATCGACGGGTCCCCTCTACCCCCCTGACCTTGCTCCCTGGGCCCCCAGGCTCCATTGCCTACCTCATCTTCACCAACCGGCATGAGGTCAGGAAGATGACACTGGACCGGAGCGAGTACACCAGCCTCATCCCCAACCTGCGGAACGTGGTCGCTCTGGACATGGAGGTGGCCAGCAACCGAATCTACTGGTCCGACCTGTCCCAGAGAGTGATCTACAGGTGAGCGTTGCCCCTTCCTGCAGCCCCGGCCCTAGGGTGAGATGAGGGCTCCTGGCCCTGATGTCCCTCCTCTCCTCCTGCCTCAGCACCCAGCTTGATGGAGCCCACGGCTTTTCCTCCTACAACACCGTCATCAGCAAGGACCTCCAGGCCCCCGACGGGCTGGCCGTGGACTGGATCCACAGCAACATCTACTGGACCGACTCTGTCCTGGGCACCGTCTCCGTCGCGGATACCAGGGGTGTGAAGAGGAAAACGCTCTTCAGGGAGACCGGCTCCAAGCCAAGGGCCATCGTGGTGGATCCCGTTCATGGGTACGTATCCACCACGCCGAGGGGTGCAGAGGGAACGCAGGGAGCAGGAAGGGGCTTCAAGAACTGGCTAGTTGGCTGGGCACAGTGTCTCACGCTGGTAACCAGCACTTTGGGAGGCCAAGCTGGGTGGGTTGCCTGAGGTCAGGAGTTTAAGACCAGCCTGGCCAACATGGTGAAACCCCATCTCTACTAAAAATACAAAAAATAGCCAGGCGTGGTGACGCGTGCCTGTGATCCCAGCTACTTGGGAGGCTGAGGCAAGAGAATCACTTGAACCCAGGAGGGGGAGGTTGCAGTGAGCCAAGATCACCCCACTGCACTCCAGCCTAGGTGACAGAACGAGACTCCGTCTCAAGAAAAAAAAAAGAACCGGGGGCGGGGCATGGTGGCTCACGCCTGTAATCCCAACACTTTGGGAGGCCAAGGCGGGAGGATCACAAGGTCAAGACCATCCTGGACAACATGGCGAAACCCTGTCTCTAATAAAAATACAAAAATAGCCAGGCATTGTGGTGCATGCCTGTAGTCCTGGTTACTCAGGAGATTGAGGCAAGGAGAATCCCTTGAACCCGGGAGGTGAAGGTTGCTGAGAGCTGAGATTGCTCCACTGCTGTCCAGCCCGGTGACAGAGCGAGACTCCAGCTCAAAAAAAAAAAACCTCCCCCTCCTGGGTTCAAGTGATTCTCTTGCCTCAGCCTCCCAAGTAGCTGGAATCACAGGCACGCGTCACCACGCCTGGCTATTTTTTGTATTTTTAGTAGAGATGGGGTTTCACCATGTTGGCCAGGCTGGTCTTAAACTCCTGACCTCAGGCAACCACTGTGGCTGGGCCCCAGGATGGCATCTTTCAGCAGCTCCTGGGTCCAGAAACTTTGACCCAAGTCCCCTGGCAGGAAACATCGCCCCCCACCCCCCGTCTGCCCGGCGTACTCTGTACCTGTCAGGCGACATATGCCACCTAAGCAGAGGGGTGGCATTTCACAGTTTCAGTGTGGTGCTGACAACCGGGACACACACTGTCCTTGAAGCTACAGTCAAGAGCTCTACAAAAAATACAGAAATTAGCTGGGCGTGTGGTGCACGCCTGTAATCCCAGCTACTCGGGAGACTGAGGCAGGAGAATCGCTTGAACCCTTGGGGGTGGAGGTTGCAGTGAGCCGAGATTGTGCTACTGCATTCCGGCCTGGCAACTGAGTGAGACTGTCTCAAAAAAAAAAAAAATTAGCCCGGTGTGTTGGGGGGGGTGCCTGTAATCCCAGCTACTCCAGAGGAAGGTCGAGGTTGCAGTGATCCAAGATCATGCCGCTGCACTCCAGGCTGAGCGACAGTGAGACTCTGTCTCCAAAAAAAAAACAAACACACATTTGGAGTTTGGAGTTCCTAGCAGGGCTTTTTCCCCGAGTCTGGGACAGGCTGATTCTGCCAGAACTCACATGTTGGCTGGAATCCTCCCCCGCCCTCCAGCCTCACAGCTATTCTCTGTCTTCCCACCAGCTTCATGTACTGGACTGACTGGGGCATCTCCGCCAAGATCAAGAAAGGGGGCCTGAACGGTGTGGACGTCTATTCGCTGGTGACTGACAACATCCAGTGGCCCAATGGCATCACCCTAGGTATGTTCGAGGGACGGGCATCCCAGCCAGGGTTGGGCACAGGCTGGAGGACAGAGGGTGTTCGCCAGCTGCTCCCTGAAGATTTTCCTTTCTTTTCTTTTTTCTTTTTTGAGACAAAGTTTCGCTCTTCTTGCCCAGGCTGGAGCACAATGGCGAGATCTTGGCTCACTGCAACCTCAGCCTCCTGGGTTCAAGTGAATCTCCTGCCTCAGCCTCCCAAGTAGCTGGGATTACAGGCATGCGCCACCACGCCCAGCTGATTTTGTATTTTTAGTAGAGACGGGGTTTCTCCATGTTGGTCAGGCTGGTCTCAAACTGACCTCAGGTGATCCGCCCACCTCCCAAAGTGCTGGGATTACAGGTGTGAGCCACCATGGCCAGCCTGTTTTTTCTATCTCTTTTTTTTTTTTTTTTTTTTTGCGACAGTCTCACTCTGTCACCAGGCTGGAGTGCAGTGGCGCAATCTTGGCTCACTGCAATCTCTGCCTCCCATGTTCAAGAGATTCTCCTGCCTCAGCCTCCTGAGTAGCTGGGACTACAGGCACATGTCACCACAGTCAGCTAATTTTTATATTTTAGTAGAGACAGGGTTTCACCATCATCGCCAGGATGGTCTTGATCTCTTGACCTTGTGATCCACCCATCTCAGCCTCTCAAAGTGCTGGGATTACAGGCGTGAGCCACAGTGCCCAGCAGGTTTTTTCTTTTTTTTTTTTTTGAGACGGAGTTCGCTCTTGTTACCCAGGCTGGAGTGCAATGGCGTGATCTCGGCTCAACACAACCTCCGCCTCCTGGGTTCAGGCAATTCTCCTGCCTCAGCCTCCCGAGTAGCTGGGATTACAGGCACGCGCCACCATGCCCAGCTAATTTTTTGTATTTTTAGTAGAGATGGGGTTTCACCATGTTGACCAGGATGGTCTCGATCTCTTGACCTCGTGATCCACCCGCCTCAGCCTCCCAAAGTGCTGGGATTACAGGCTTGAGCCACTGGGTTTTTTCTTTTTTTTTGAGATGACGTCTTGCTCTGTCACCCAAGCTGGAGGGCTGTGGTGCAATCATAGCTCACTGCAGCCTCCACTCTTCCAGGCTCATGTGATCCTCCTGCTTCAGCCTCCTGAGAAGCAGAGACTATAGACGTGCCACCACGCCAGACTAATTTTATTTTATTTTTGGGAAGAGACAAAGTCTCGTTGTGTTGACTGGGCTGATCTCAAACTCCTGGGTGATCCTCCTGCCTCAGCCTTCCAAACTGCTAGGATTATAGCCGAGAGCCACTCCACCCAGCCTCCCTGAAGCTTTTCTCTCCTCCAGCTCCCTACCTGCCCATTGGATTGGGCATCACAGGGGAGGGGTTCAGGCTCACAGGTGGTCGGAGCTGCCTCTCCAGGTGCTTCTCTGCCGGGTCCCTGGGGTGCTCTTCCTGCCTGCAGGCCCCTCTGGGACTGACACCAGCATGTGACCTCTCCTCACCCGCTTGTGTGTTCTAGACCTTCCCAGGGGCCGCCTGTACTGGGCTGACTCCAAACTTCACTCCATCTCAAGCATCGATGTCAATGGGGGCAACCGGAAGACCATCCTGGAGGACGAGGACAGGCTGGCACACCCCTTCTCCTTGGCCATCTTCGAGGTGCGGCTTGGGAGCTTGAGTGAAATCCGGGCTTACTGTTGTTGACTGAGAGCTGCTTCCGTGTGAGATGCAAGTGCTTAGGGGGTGGCTAGACACAGACTGTAGGTCACTCGAGCCAAGATGAACGTGGAAAACTGGCCGTGACTGGGAGGCAGTCTTAGACCTGAGTAATTTCTGTTTTCTTTCCTTTTTTTTTTGAAAAAGACAGGATCTCATTCTGCCGCCCAGGCTGGAGTGCAGTGGTGCAATTATATCTTGCTGCAGCCTCAACCTCCTGGGCTCAAGTGATCCTCCCACCCCAGCCTCCAGAGCAGCTGGGACTAGAGGTATACACCACCCTGCCCAACTTTTTATTTTTGAGATGGAGTTTCGCTCTTGTTTCCCAGGATGGAGTGCAATGGCACGATCTTGGCTCACCGCAACCTCCGCCTCCCGGGTTGAAGCAGTTCTCCTGCCTCAGCCTCCACAGTAGCTGGGATTACAGGCGCCCACCACCATGCCTGGCTAACTTTTTGTATTTTTAGTAGAGACGGGGTCCCACCATGTTGGCCAGGCTGGTCTCGATCTCCTGACCTCGTGATCTGCCCACCTCGGCCTCCCAAAGTGCTGGGAGAACAGGTATGAGCCACCGCGCCCGGCCTACATTTGGCAATTTCTAGAGACTTTTTGGTTGTCACAAGGCGATGGGGAAGACTGTTGGCATCTAGTGGGTAGACGCTGGCGACGCTCCTGAATGCCCGGAACACAGAAGTAGCAGCTAGAGCCGCGGTGTGGAAACCCTGTTCTCAGGAAATGGCGCTATTTGGTAGCCCCATGTTCATGGCAGCGTGACTGCCAGCAACCAAAAGCGGAACCCCCAAGTGTGCGTGTCCATTTGCAATAAAGGAGCGGCTGAGGCCAGGTGATTTGTAAAGTAAAGAGGCTTAAGGTGGGCAACGGCAGCTCACGCCTATAATCCCAGCACTTTAGGAGGCTGAGGCAGGAGGATCACTTGAATCTAGGACTAGTTTGAGACCAGCCTGGCCAACATGACGAAACCCTGTCTCTACAAAAAATACAAAAAGTAGCTAGTGTGGGGTGGACGCCTGTAATCCCAGGTACCCGAGAGACCGAGGCAGGAGAACTGCTTGATCCCAGGAGGTGGAGGCTGCAGGGCGCCAAGATCATGCCACCACACTCCAGCCTGTGGCGACAGAGCAGGACTCTGTCTGAAAAAAAACAGTTCTAGGCTGGGCGCGGTGGCTCACGCCTGTAATCTCAGCACTTTGGGAGGCTGAGGTGGGAGATCACCTGAGGTCCGGAGTTTGAGACCAGCCTGGCCAACATGGCGAATCCCCATGTGCGCCAACACACCTGGCTAATTTTTGTATTTTTTTGGTAGAGATTGTGTCTCGTATGTTGCCCAGTCTGGTCTTGAACTCGTGGCCTCTGTCTATCTTCCCACCTCAGTCTCTACTAAAAATACAAAATTAGCCAGGCGCGATGGTACCCACCTGTAATCCCAGCTACTCAGGGGCTGAGGAAGAATCACTTGAACCCAGGGGCGTGTGGGTTGCAGTGAACCGATACCATGCCATTGCACTACAGCCTGGGGGACAAGAGCGAGGCTCTGTCTCAAAAAAAAAGAGTTCTGGAAATGGTTGGTGGGGATGGTGATACTTGCACAATAGTGCAAATGTACTTAAGGCCACTGAACTGTGCACTTAACAAACAGCTGAGATGGCACATTTTATGTTGTGTGTATTTTACCACCATTAAAAACTAGCTGTGGGCCGGGCACGGTGGGTGACACCTGTAATCTCAGCACTTTGGGAGACCAAGGTGGGTGGATAATCTGAGGTCAGGAGTTCGAGACCAGCCTGGCCAACATGGCGAAACGCTGTCTCTACTAAAAATATAAAAATTAGCCGTGTGTGGTGGTGGATACCTGTAATCCCAGCTTCTCAGGAGGCTGAGGCAGGAGAATTGTTTGAACCCAGGAGGCTGAGGCTGCAGTGAGCTGAGATCAGGCCACTGCACTCTAGCCTGGGCAACAACAGTGAAGCTCTGCCTCAAAAATAAATAAATCAATAAAATCTAGTTGTGGAGAGAGGATGGTCTGTGTCTCATCCCAGTGTTTTACAGGATTTGTCATCTTCCTTGCTGCCCGTTTAGGACAAAGTATTTTGGACAGATATTATCAATGAAGCCATTTTCAGCGCCAACCGCCTCACAGGCTCCGATGTCCATTTATTGGCAGAAAACCTGCTGTCCCCAGAGGATATGGTCCTTTTCCACAACCGCACCCAGCCAAGCGGTAAGGGTGGGTCAGCCTCAGCCCCCACACACGTTGAAACTTCCTGTGGAAACTCTGGAATGTTCTGGTCCAGCTCATCTCGTTCTTGCCCTGACTCTATTTCTTCTGCCGCAGGAGTGAACTGGTGTGAGAGGACCACCCTGAGCAACGGCGGATGCCAGTACCTGTGTCTCCCCGCCCCCCAGATCAACCCCCGCTCACCCAAGTTTACCTGTGCTTGCCCCGACGGCATGCTGCTGGCCAGGGACATGAGGAGCTGCCTCACAGGTGCGACACACGCCTTGTTTCTGCTTCCTGTGTCCTCCACTCCCCACCCCACCGTCAGCCTCTCTCTGCCCATCTGTCAAATGGGCAACTCAAGGTTGTTGTAAGAACTCGTGAGTCGGGATAACCTTACTTCTCTTGGGTGGGCACATTAGCGCCAGGCTGGACATTTACCCAGATCCCCTTGGTGGCTGGTGTCTTCTTTCCCGGCCCCCAGAGAGGTGATCTGATTTCTGACAGGGGCCCTGGGGGAGGAAATGGTCCCTTTGTTGACTCTTCTTTTTATTGTTTTAGATTTGCTCCATCACCCAGGCTGGAGTGCAGCAGCGCCATCTCAGCTGTTACCTCTGCCCCAGGGTTCAAGCAGTTCTCATGCCTCACCCTCCCAAGTAGCTGGGATTATAGGCGCCTGCCACCATGCATGGCTCATTTTTGTATTTTTATTATTTATTTATTTATTTTGAGACGGAGTTTCGCTGTTGTTACCAGACTGGAGTGCAATGGCACGATCTCGGCTCACCGCAACCTCCGCCTTCTGGGTTCAAGCAATTCTCCTGCCTCCCGAGTAGCTGGGACTACAGGCGTGCACCACCATGCCCAGCTAATTTTTTAATTTTTAGTAGAGACGGGGTTTCACCTCGTTGACCAGGATGGTCTCGATCTCTTGACCTTGTGATCCACCCGCCTCAGCCTCCCAAAGTGCTGGGATTATAGGCATGAGCCACTGCACCCGGCAATTTTTGTATTTTTAGTACAGGCAGGGTTTCTCCATGGTGGCCAGGCTGGTTTTGAACTCCTGACCTCAGGTGATCCACCCATCTCTGCCTCCCAGTGTGGTGGGATTACAGGCATAAGCCACCGCACCTGGCCTTTTAGAGTTATTTCTTGAGAGCTGATTGTACCCACTTTGTTTGGTTTTTGTTTTGAGACAGAGGTTTGCTCAGTTGCCCAGGCTGGAGTGCAATGGGAAGATCTCGACTCACTGTAACCTCCACTTCCAGGTTCACACAATTCTCCTGCCTCAGCCTCCCGAGTAGCTTGGACTATAGGCATGCACCACCTGACTAATTTTTGTATTTTTTTTTTTAAAGACAGAGTTTTGCTCTGTCACCAGGCGCCAGGCTGGAGTACAGTGGCTCAATCTCGGCTCACTGCAATCTCTGCCTGCTGGGTTCAAGCAATTCTCCTGCCTCAGCCTCCCTAGTAGCTGGGACTACAGGTGCACACCACCACACCCAGCTAATTTTTGTATTTTTTAGTAGAGACGGGCTTTCACCCTGATGGCCAGGCTGGTCTTGAACTCCTGACCTCAGGTGATCCGCCCGCCTCGGCCTCCCAAAGTGTTGGGATTACAGGCGTGAGCCACCACAACTGGACTCATTTTGGACCTTTTTTTCTTTTAGTTTTTCAAATTTTTTTTTTAAAGACGGGGCTTCACCATGTTGGTCAGGCTGGTCTTGAACTCCCGACCTCAGGTGATCCACCTGCCTCTGCCTCCCAGAGTGCTGGGATTACAGGCATGCACCACCACACCTGGCTTTTTTTTTTTTTTTTTTTTTAGTAGAAATGGGGTTTTGCTATGTTGATCAGACTGGTCTTCAACTCCTGGACTCAACCGATCCTCCTGCCTTGGCCTTCCAAGGTCATTTCGGCCTGCTTGTCATTAGGTGCACAGTTATGAGCGGGGCTCGCAGGCCCGTGGCACTCAGGAGATGCTTCTTTATTCCTTCAGAGGCTGAGCCCACTGTGGCCACCCAAGAGACCTCCACCGTCAGGCGAATGGGCAGCTCCACAGCTGCACGGACCCAGCACACAACCACCCAGCCTGTTGCTGACACCTCCCGGCTACCTGGGTCCACCCCTGAGCTCACCACAGCAGAGATAGTGACAATGTCTCACCAAGGTAAAGGCTGGGGCCTCCCTGGGCCCCAGTTCACTGGGAGGTGGGTCCCTTGAGTGGCCACAAACATTTTGGTGATGTGATGGAGTCTGGGCGGCGTCCTCACTCTCTGGCTGACGCTCTCTCACTTGGGCTGTGTGTCTCTGAAGCATTAGCTTTTCCATCTGTAAAGTGGGCCTAATAACACCTCTTGCCCTCTTTGCAAGAATTAAATGGGCCAAATCATATGAGGGGCCCTGGTCCTTCGGGCTCCTGGTTCCCAGTCAGCCACACACAGTTCGGGCCCCGAAATTTTATCAAGGCCCATTCACTGCCTCAGTTTCAGGCATCTGCCCAAAACCGCCAGGACAAAGGCAAGGAGAGGGAGGCATTCCTCAGCACATAGCCTTTCTCAGGCTCCAAAACGCTCAGGAACCCAGTAACGTTTTAACACAATTTTACTTTTTTTGTTTGTTTGTTTTGAGACAGAGTCTTGCTCTATCGCCTAGGCTGGAGTGCAGTGGCGTGATCTCGACTCACTGCAACCTCCGCTTCCCAGATTCAAGTGATTCTCCTGCCTCAGCCTCCCGAGTAGAGTAGCTGGGATTATAGGCACACACCACCATACCCGGCTAATTTTTGTGTTTTTGGTATAGAGATGGGGTTTTACCTTGTTGGCCAGGCTGGTCTCAAACCCCTGACCTCAAGTGATCTGCCCACCTCAGCCTCCCAAAGTGCTGGGATTAAAGGCGTGAGCCACTGTGCCTGGCCAACAATTTATTTTTTGGTGGCTCACAGCTGTAATCCTAGCACTTTGGGCAGCCAGGGTGGGAGAATCACTTGAATCCAGGAGTTGAAGTCCAGCCTGGGTGACACAGGAAGACACATCTCTACTACAAATAAATATAAATAAATAATAAAATAATATTGTTTACTTTTAAACCCCAACTATTCTGCTGGTGCAGTGGCTCATGCCTGTAATCTCAGTGCTTTGGGAGGCTTAGGCAGGTGGATCACGAGGTCAGGAGTTCGAGACCAGCCTGGCCAATGTGGTGAAACCCCGTCTCTACAAAAAATACAAAAATTAGCCAGGCATGGTGGTGCATGCCTGTAATTCCAGCTACTCGGGGGGCTGAGGCAGGAGAATCACTTGAACCCGGGAGGCAGAGGTTGTAGTGAGCCGAGATCACACCATTGTACTCCAGCCTGGGTGACAGGAGCAAACCTCTGTCTCAAAAAAAAAAAAAGGAGTATTATTGGATTCCTGGATTCCTAAGCTTTTTGGCTCCCCATTTAGACTGGGGTCTGGGGTGAGCGACTGGCAGCGTTCACCCTGTAATACCTGGCCTCACTGCCCTCCCTGGATGTGATGAGACCCTCATTCGTTTGTCCACCAGAGGGCGCCCAACCTCCTTTGCGCTGCTGGGAAATGGTGCTGGTAGACTTTTCTAGCAAACAGAAAAATGGCACATCAGCAGACTCCAGACCACTCTTTTCCCCTCCCCCAGAGTAGCTGAAACCTTTGTTCAGTTACAAGCAGGATAAAATGGAAACTGCCCGGGGGAGACTGGGAAACCTTGCTTGGGGGAGGTGGGACTGCCAGAATTATCACTTCACAGCCAGGCCCATCCAGAACTCCTCAAACTTGGCAAAGAAGTCATTCATTCATTCTTTCATTTCATGTAGAATCGAGGTGGGGGTCTGGCTGTGTTGCCCAGACCGGTCTCAAATTCCTGGCCTCAAGTGATCCTCCCACCTTGGCTTCCCAGTGTACTTAGATTACAGGCGTGAGCCACCGTGCCCAGCTCTAGTGGACTTGAAATGTTGGCTTGTCCCGGGCCTTTATGTTGAATGGCCCAGGTCCACTCCCATGTTTCTGTATCAAGGTTACTCCCATCCCATAATGCCTGGGACAGTCGACGCAGGACAGTCAGCTTTCATGCCCTTCAACCTCAGCACCGAGTGTGCTGGGCATTGTGGGGTCAGAAAGGGACTCCCCTGTGCCCTTCAAAATATACTTTTTTTTTAAAATGGAGTCTTGTTCTGTTGCCCAGGCTGCAGTGCAGTGGCGTGATCTCAGTTCACTGTAACCTCTCTGCCTCCCAGGTTCAAGTGATTCTCCTGCTTTAGTCTCTCAAGTAGCTGGGATTTCAGGCGTGCGCTACCAAGCCCGGCTAATTCTGGTATTTTTAGTTGAGACAGAGTTTCACCATGTTGGCCAGGCTGTTCGTGAACTCCTGACCTCAGGCAACCCGCCCACCTCAGCCTCCCAAAGTGCTGGGATTACAGGCATGAGCCACCGTGCCCAGCCTCTTTTTGTGTTTGTTTTGAGACAGCGCCTCGCTCTGTCGCACAGGCTGGAGTGTAGTGGCGCAGTCTCAGCTCGCCTCAATCTCCGCCTCCTGGGTTCAAGTGATTCTTCTGCCGCAGCCTCCCGAGTAGCTGGGACTACAGGTATGTGCAATAGCACCTGGCTCATTTTTGTATTTTAGTAGAGACAGGCTTTTACCATATTGGCCAGGCTGTTCCTGAACTCCTGACCTCAGGTGATCCTCCCACCTCTGCCTCCCAAAGTGTGATTATGGGTGTGAGTCACCACAGCCGGCCCAAAATACGCTCATATTAATGAATGCAGAAATAGGTTGACAAAAATTCCACACACAACCTTGTCAGCCACCTCGCATGAATTCCTCTGTGACTCTCCACTAAAGCCTCGTTAATGTGAGGCTCAAGAACCTTCTTGGGCTGAGCTCAGTGGCTCATGCCTGTAGTCCCCGCACTTTGGAAGGCTGAGGCAGGAGGATCACTTTAGACCAAGGATTCAAGACAAGCCTGGGCAAGATACACAGCCAGACCCCCGTTTCTAGCCCTGAAAAAAGAGAATTTTTTTTTTTGGTGCCGTGACTTGGATACAAACCAAGGTTGCTGTGGACCCAACTTTTTTTTTTTTTTTTTTATCTTGGCTCACTGCAACCTCCACTCCCGGGTTCAAACGATTCTCCTGCCTCAGCCTCTCCATTAGCTGGGACTACAGGCATGTGCCACAACACTCAGCTCATTCAAAAAGAACCTTCTTGGCTGGGTGCAGTGGCTCACGCCTGTGATCCCAGCACTCTGGGGAGCTGAGGCAGGCGGATCACGAAGTCAAGAGATCGAGACCATCCTGGCCAACAAGGTGAAACCCCATCTCTACTAAAAATATAAAAATTAACCGGGCGTGTTGGCACATGCCTGTAGTCCCATCTACTCAGGAGGCTGAAGCAAGAGAATCACTTGAACCTGGGAGGCAGAGGTTGTAGTGAGCTGAGATCGTGCCACTGTACTCCAGCCTGGCAACGGAGCAAGACTCCATCTCAAAAAAAAAAAAAAGAACCTTCTTAAACCCGAATTGAGTTCTACAACCTCGATAACTCACAAATAAGCCCATGTGACCTCTCGCAGACTTGGGAAATTCTCCAAGTGCCCAGGAAGATGTACCAGGTGCTGTCCTGCCTGTGACCACCGCCTTCTGCCTGCTGCATGTCTTGGTGACCTTCCCTTTACACCTGGGCCTCACTCTTACTTCTCTCCTGCAGCCTTGGGTGACGTTGCTGGCCGAGGAACTGAGGAGAAGCCCAGGAGTGTGGGGGCTCTGTCCATCATCCTCCCCATCGGTAAGTGCAGGCCAGTCCCCCAGTGTCCCCCAGGTCACAGCCACCTGCAGTGCGGTAGGGCCTGTTCACTTTTTCTCCCGGCAGGGAATAGCCCCACTGAGTGTCCTTTATCACCCCACGGCCTCTCCCCACTTGTGGCTGACAGTGACAAGATCAGACAGCTAAGGGGTCAGATGGAGGATGTGGAGTAGGTGCCATGCTGCGGAAATGGCCTCACTGAGACTTGAGTGTGTTTTGGGGAATGGGTTCTCTTGCAGGAGGCTGTGTAGACAGGCCCACTCTCCTGGCCTCACCTATGCTCATCCTAACCCAGTTACCTTCACGTCTCTTTTCCCTTTTTTTCTTAAATTTTAAGAAAAAAAATAAATTTTTTAGAGACAGGGTCTTCCCTCTGTTGCCCAGGCTGGAGTGCAGTGGCACGATCATACCACACCACAGCCTCAGTGTCTGTGCTCAAGTGATCCACCCATCTCGGCCTCCCAAAGTGCTGCGATTACATGCATGAGAGAGATTTCTTTCCTTTTTTTTTTTTTTAAGACGGAGTTTTACCTTGTTGGTCAGGCTGGTCTTGAACTCCCGACCTCAGGTGATCCACCTGCCTTGGCCTCCAAAGTGCTTGGATTACAGGCGTGAGCCACCATGCCCGGCCGAGATAGATTTCTTTTTTACACTAAGTAAGTACTACTTTCAGTTCAGAACAAAAACATTATCAAGTGAAAAAGCCTTCCTACCTACGGTAGGTGCATACCTACCGTCCCAGCTATTCCGGAGGCTGAGTTGGGAGGATTGCTTGAGGCCAGGAGACTGAGGCTGCGGTGAGCTATGCTGGTGCCGCTGCACTCCAGCCGGGGACACAGAGCAAGACGCTATCTCTAAGCAAACATAAAAGACCGGGAGTCCAGGGCACGGCACATTCCCCGTGTTTTCACTCCGGCCACAGAGCTGGGTCTCCGGTCTCGGGGGCTGCCATGTGACCGAGCGCCTCTCCCTGCAGTGCTCCTTGTTTTCCTCTGCGTCGGGGCCTTCCTCCTCTGGAGGAACTGGCGGCTTAAGAGCATCAACAGCATCAACTTTGACAACCCCGTCTACCAAAAGACCACGGAGGACGAGGTCCACATTTGCCGCAGCCAGGACGGCTACAGCTACCCCTCGGTGAGTGACCCCTCTAGGAAGCCAGAGCCCATGGCAGCCCCTCCTGGCTGGAGGCATAAGATCCTCGAGGGACCAGGCCGAGGCTTCCCCAGCCTCTAGATCGAGGGCAGCACTGGGTGAATGTTTCTGTCAGCGGACAGTGGCCTTGGTGGCGTAGAGGAATGTTGAATAAGCAAAGAGAGCTCTGCGGATGGTGATGGAGCAAAGAAAGTCAAAAGGGTCAGAGGCCAGGCTTGGTGGCTCATGCCTGGAATCCCAGCACTGGACAGATCACCTGAGGTCAGGAGTTCAAGACCAGCCTGGCCAACAGGGCGAAACCACATCTCTACTAAAAATACAAAAAATTAGCCAGGCGTGGTGGTGGGCACCTGAAACCCCAGCTACTCAGGAGGCTGAGGCAGGAGAATCGCTTGAACCCAGGAGGTGGAGGTTGCAGTGAGCTGAGATCACGCCACTGCACCCAGCCTGGGTGACAAGAGCAAAACTCTGTCTCAAAAAAAGAAAAAATAATGGAGTTCAGAGGCCAGGCGCAGTGGCTCACACATGTGATCCCAGAACTTTGGGAGGCTGAGGTAGGAGGATCACCCGAGCTGAGAGCTGGAGACCAGGCTGGGCAACACAGCAAGACCCCATCTCTGTAGAAAGTAAAAGTTTAGCACAGTGTGGTGATGCACGCCTATAGTTCCACCTTCTAGTGAGGCTAAGGCAGGAGGATTGCTTGAGCCAAGATTGCGCCACTGCACTCCAGCCTGGGTGACAGAGCAAGACCCTGTCTCTTAAAAAATAACAAATAAAAAATTCAAAGAAGGGTTTCCAGAGGGCCAGGAGGAAGGAAAAAAAGGTGTTTTTGTTTTGTTGAGATAGAGTCTTGCTCTGTCACCCAGGCTGGAGAGCAGTGGTGTGGCCTTGGCTCACTGCAACTTCTGCCTCCTGGGTTCAAGCAATTCTTGTGCCTCATGCCTCAGTCTCCTGAGTAGCTGGGATTACAGCACTATGCACAGCTAATTTTTGTATTTTTCGTAGAGACAGGGTTTCACCATGTTGCCCAAACTGGTCTTGGACTCATGACCTCAAGTGATTCACCCCCATCAGCCTCCCCACGTGCTGGGATTGCAGGCGTTAGCCACCATGCATGCCTTGATTTTTAGACAAAAAGTTGAGGGGAGGTAGGCTTCTCTGAGCCAGGGAACAGCCTGTGCGAAGGCCCTGCGGCTGGACTGTGCCTGTTGGGTTTCAGGCTGTTGTGGCTGGAGCAAAGAGAGAGAGGGGTAAAAAGGAAGGAGGGGGCTGGGTGTGGTGGCTCACACCTGTAATCCCACTATTTAGGGAGGCTGAGGCAGGCAGATCACAAGGTCAGGAGATCAAGACCATCCTGGCCAATGTGGTGAAACACTAAAATAACATCTCTACTAAAATACAAGAAACAAAATCAGCCAGGCATAGTGGCACATGCCTGTAATCCCAGCTACTTGGGAGGCTGAGGCAGGAGAATCACTTGAACCTGGGAGGTGGAGGTTGTGGTGAGCCGAAATCATGCCATTTCACTCCAGCCTGGGCAACAAGAGTGAAACTCCGTCTCAAAAAAAAAAAAAAAGGCAGGAGGGGACCAGACAGGGTATCTTCTGAATCAGGTACTCCCCAACACCCCCTGGTGGCCCCTGGGGGAACATACTTGGGGATCAGGATCGGGGAGGCTGCCAGGTCCAGGAGGTGAGAAGTTGGTGGACTAGGGCCACGTTTCCTGACCGCTGGACTGATAGTTTCCGCTGTTTACCATGTGTTGGCAGAGACAGATGGTCAGTCTGGAGGATGACGTGGCGTGAACGTCTGCCTGGCGTCCCGTTCCTGCCCACGACCCTTCCTGAGACCTCGCCGGCCTTCTGTTTTATTCAGAGACAGAGAAGACCACAGTGTTGCCTGCCAGAGCTTTGTTTATATATTTATTCATCTGGGAGGCAGAACAGGCTTCGGACGGTGCCCGTGGAATGGCTTGGGTTGGGATTTTTGGTTTCTTTATTTCCTTATGAAGGAGAAGAGAAACAGGCCCAGGGGGCCGCCAGGATGATGCCTCCATTTCTCTCTGGGAAGTTGTGAGTTTCTCTCCATTGTGACACAATCTCCAAAGAGGTGAGGATGAAAGGGAAGGGGATGCAGGCCCAGAGAAGCCAGTGGCTTTCAACACACGACAGCAGATGTCGCTGACGGGACCCCGGGCGCTGCCTTAGAGTCCACCAGTCTCTAAGCCGAGCCCCTAAACTCAGGAGTCCAAGCATTTACCTCTTCTGTACAAGCCTTGCTACACAGGCAAGGTAGCCTTAACCCGTCACCCCCGAATCATGACCCACCCAGTGCCTTTCAAGCTGGGTTTGTACCTTCCTTCAGCCAGGAAAGGGATTAATGGCATTGCTACTGATCTGGCTGAATCCTGGGTGCCAGAGGCGGTGATGCCAATCAAGACCAAACTCATCTGGCCAGGCGTGATGGCTCACACCGGTAATCCCAGCACTTCGGAAGGCTGAGGCAGGCGGATCACCAGAGGTCAGGAGTTGGAGATCAGACTGACCAACATAGAGAAACCCCATCTCTACTAAAAATACAAAATTAGCCGGGTGTGGTGCCACATGCCTGTGATCCCAGCTACTCAGGAGGCTGAGGCAGGAGAATCGCTTGAACCCAGGAGGCGGAGGTTGCGGTGAGCCAAGATTGCACCATTGCACTCCAGCCTGGGCAACAAGGGCGAAACTCCATCTCAAAAAAAAAAAAAGAAACTCATTCACCAAATGATGCTACTTGTCACAGGGAGAGCTGGGGTTACTGATAACTCTTAATATTTATTAAGTGCCTGAGACACCTGGTTGCCTTGCCCATGAGGACACCAGCATCGTGTCCGTCCACCTCACCCTGCCCCACTTCCTTTCCCTTGGTCCCTGTGCACTTTCTCGGTTCAGAGTTGTACACTATGTAAATCCAGCATTGCTGTTTTGTTTTGCACTGTTTTCTGTCACGTGCATTGAGGTGGGATCCCAGGCCAGGGAAGGCCCATATCAGTGAATGCCAGAGACAGAGAGGGCAGGGTGGCTGGGACTGCTAAGCGAGGTCCTGAATATGGAGAGCTGCCTTGGTCTTTTTTACATCTGCCCGCCCAGTGCCTCCCCTTCTGCGCAGATGCCTCCAAGCCATTCACCTCCCCGATCTTGTCGTTGGTGGGCACGATGGCCCACCCCTGTAATCCCAGTACTCTGGGAGGCCGAGATGGGCAGAGCACGAGGTCAGGAGTTCAAGACCAGCCATATCAGTATGGTAAAACTCCGTCTCTACTAAAAACACGAAAATTAGCTGGGTGTGGTGGTCCATACCTGTAATCCAGCTACTCTAGAGGCTGAGGCAGGAGAATCGCTTGAACCCAGGAGGTGGAGGTTGCAGTGAGCTGAGATCACACCATTGCACTCCAGCCTGGGCAACAAGAATGAAACTCTGTCTCAAAAAAAAAAACAAAAACCATGCATGGTGTATGAGCACCCCGTGGCCTCTGGCCAGGCATGGCGAGGCTGAGATGGGAGGATTGTTTGAGCACAGGAGTTTGAGGGTGCAGTGAGCTATGATGATGCCACTGCACCCCAGTCTGGCCATGAAGTTGGCCAGACACAGGTGGCTCATGCCTGTAATCCCAGCACTTTGGGAGGCTGAGTCGGGAGGATCCCTTGAGCTCAGGAGCTGGAGACCAGGCCTGAACAACAAAGTGAGATCCTGTCTCTACAAAAATTAAAAAATCAGTCAAGTGTGGTGGTACATGCCTGTGATCCCAGGTACTCGGGAGGCTGAGGCAGGAGGATCACTTGAGGCCAGGAGGTAGAGGTTGCAGTGAGTTGTGATCACGCCAGTGCACCTCAGCCTGGGCAACAGATCAAGACCCTATCTCATAAATAAACCGTTTTAAAAAATAAAGTCTCCCGTCTGGATTGTTTCACGGGACTTCAGATTCTTTCTGTAATGGCCCTAAATGTTATTGTTGCACTGACGTCCTGAGAGACAGTGGCAGCCTCCCTCAGATTCCTGTCTGCTGACGCTGCAAGGGATTGGCGATTGTCCCCAGGGGTGAAACACTGTGGCCCTACCCCCGGCCTCCCGCTGCAGGGAACCGTGACAAGCTTTCCTGGTTTTAGCACATGCACATGCGTCCCTGTACAGGTCGCAGGGTGTTTTGTTATGTTTGCACTTTGTATATTGGTCGACACTGTTATCACTTACATGTATATAAATCTATTTATTTTTGCAAACCCTGGTTGCTGCATTTGCTCGGTGACTATCCTCGGGGCCCTGAGTAGGGGGTTATTGTCTCTGAAATGCCTCTTTTTTTTCTTTTTCTTTTTTCAAGTGTTTTACTTGGTAGCCTCTTCTTTATGTACAAAGATTATATGCACAAATTGGACTGTGTGCGACAGCTTTTGGGAGAATGATGTCCCCGTGGTATGTATGACTGGCTTCTGGGGGTGGATGTCACTTTTTAAACCACTGTATAGAAGAATCTGTAGCCTGAATGTCCTACTGTGATCAATTAAATTTCTCAAATGGAAGAGTTTGTTGATGTACTTTCTTCTGTTTGCTCATTTCTGTCTTTCTTTTACATTTTTTTTATTTTTTGAGGGAAGGGGAGGGGAGGGGAATGGAGGGGAGGAAACAAAGGCTGGGTGTCTTTCTTTGTGTGTGTGAGACAGAATCTTGCTCTGTCACCAGGCTGGAGTTCAGTGGCACAATCTCGGCTCACTGCAACCTCCACCTCCCGGGTTTAAGCCATTCTCCTGCCTCAGCCTCCCAAGTAGCTGGAACTACAGGCGCATGCCACCACACCCAGCTAATTTTTGTAATTTTAGTAGAGACAGGGTTTCACCATGTTGACCTTGTGATCTGCCCACCTTGGCCTCCCAAGGTGCTGGTATTACAGGTGTGAGCCATTGTGCCTATCTTTTTGTTTTTGGTTTTTTTTTTTGAGATGGAGTCTGGTTCTGTTGCCCAGACTGGAGTGCAGTGGCACAATCTCGGGTTACTGCAACCTCCACCTCCTGGGTTCAAGCGATTCTCCTGTTTCCGCCTCCTGAGTAGCTGGGATTACTCTGTAACTTTACCTGCCCACCTAAACCTATAAAACCAACTCCTATCCCACCGCCCTTCACTAACACCCTTTGGCCTTAGCCCACCTGCACCCAGGTGAATAAACAGCCATGTTGCTCACACAAAGCCTGTTGGGGGGGTCTCTTCATTCAATGCACACGTTTTTAACATTTGGTGCCGAAACCCAGGACAGGGGAAAGACCAAACCCTGTCCCTGTTCTTGTGCTCCCTCCATGAAGAGATCTACCCACCGACCTGGGGTCATCGGCCCAGCCACAGACGTACCGCCGGCTGTTTGGTGAGCAGCCTCTCTCTTTTCTGCTTTCCCATTCTTTTGTCTTTTCCTTTCCACTTCCTCTTTCGGTTTCCTCCTTTTTCCACCGCAAAGACAAGGAAAATCAGGTAAACCAGGTTCTTCCATGAAGGTTCAGGACCAGAAAATCCTACATAGGTCACGGATCCGGGGACCCAGTTTCTCCAGGGGTTTGACTATCGTGGAGACGTTCACCCCAGTCACTCGCCCACCAGGCCCATGGCTGATATTGGTGGCAGGTCATCGTAGAGGATACCCTCTTTGGCGGCTCACTAACAAGGAGGTTCAACCCAAGCTCAACGAGGGACACCTATAGAGCCGCTGGGCTGCGTGCCCATTTTCCTTGTCTCTGCTGCCTTTCCAGAACCATAAGCCTCCCTCCTCTCCGCTGGCCTGCGTTCTAAAGAACCTCAAGCCTCTTCAACTGTCTCCTGACCTAAAACCCGAAAATCTCATCTTCTGTAACACTGCATGGCAACAGTACGAGTTAAACAACGGCTCCAACTGGCCAAAAACTGGCACCTTCAACCTATTGTATAAAACTTTTGTCACAACATGGGCAAATGGTCTGAAATTCCCGACGTCCAGGCATTTTTTTACACACCAGTCCCTCCCTAATCTCTCCTCCTCCTCTTCCCTTCCGTCTCTTCCTCTGCCAGTAAGCCAGAATCCTCCTTGTCCATCAACCCTTCCAACCTTTCGTCTCCCGCCTGTGAACCAGGCACTAATCCAGGACCTAACCCACCCCCCAGAGCCTCCTTCTCTTCCTCTGCCCACAACCCCCTCCTTATGCCCCTCCTGCCACCTCCCCACCTCACATGCAGCCCGGCTTACAGTTAGTCCCGAGGCCACCTCCTCTGCCCCTCCCAACAATCCCCCATTCCAGAGGCGGCTACACCCAAAGGCATAGTTAGGGTGCACGTTCCTTTCCCTTTATCCAACCTTTCCAAATTGGCCACCAGTTAGGCTCCTTTTCATCAAATCCTCCAGTACTTAACCCAGTCCTACGATCCCACCTGGAGGAACTTAAATGTCATCCTTATTCTCACCCCTAAAAAACGCTTAATATGCATTTTATCACCCAATCAAACCCAACAGTACAAAAAGACACAGAAATTAAAATCTGGCCCTCAAACCCCACAACAGGAATTAAGCAACCTCACCTTCAGGGTTTTCAAAAACAGGGAAAAATCTGCCCGGCGCCAGCACATCTCAGAACTACTGATGCTTGCCTCTTCTGTAAGACAAAGCCCAGCCACACCACCGGCTCACAGACTTCAAAGCGCCCGGACTGCGGCGTCCAGCTGCCCCTCCCGGACCTTGCTTCAAGTGTCGGAAACCTGGCCACTGGGCCAAGAAATGCCCACAGCCCGGGAAATGCCCGCAGCCCAGGATTCCTCCTAAGCCCTGCTCCGTCTGTGCGGGGCCCCCACAGAAAGTTGACTGTCCGACTCACGTGGCTGCTCCCAGCGCTCCTGAAGCTCCAATCCTCGGCTTGGCGGCTGAAGACTAAAGCTGCCGGGCTTCTCGGAAGCCCCTGGACCAGCACGGACGCCAAACTTCGGGTAACTCTTACGGTGGGGGGTAAGTCCATCCCCTTCTTAATCAACTCGAGGCCACCCACCCCACGCTGCCTTCTTTTCAAGGACCTGTCTCCTCGGCCTCCATAACTGCGGTGGGATTGACCGCAAGGCCTCCGGGCCTCTCAAAACTCCCCCATCCTGGTGTCAATTAGGCCATCACTCCTTTCCACGTTCTTTCCCAATCATCCCCACCTGCCCAGTTCCCCTGTTAGGCCAAGACATCCTCGCAAAATTGTCTGCCTCCTTCACTATTCCTGGGCCACAGCCACAGCTCATTGCCGTCCTCATCTGCGAACCCGCACCTCCCTCAATAGCTCCCCTTATGTCCCAACCCTAACCCTGGGGTGTAAAACACCATCTTCCCCTCATCATCCAAGTCACTCACCCCTCATCATCCCCTTAAAACCAAACCACCCTTACCCTGCCCAGCCCAAGTGCCCCGTCCCACAACAGGCTTTAAAAGTAAAGCCTGTTATCACCCGTCTATTGCAACATGGCCTTTTAATTCACACTCCTGCTTCTTCAGCATCTATACTCAAAGGGGCATCGTGTTTACCCTTCCAAAGCCCTAACCCAGCTGTCCAAAAAACCAGACAAATTCTACAGGCTAGTTGAAGACCTCTGCCTCAGTCAGTGTACTTCCCACCCACCTGGCTGTAACAAACCCCCACCTCACAGTCAGATCATACTTCCCACCCACCTGGCTGTACCAAACCCCCACCTCACAGTCAGTGTACTTCCCACCCATCTGGCTGTACCAAACCCCCACCTCACAGTCAGATCATACTTCCCACCCACCTGGCTGTACCAAACCCCACCTCACAGTCAGATGGTACTTCCCATCCACCTGGCTGTACCAAACCCCCACCTCACAGTCAGTGTACTTCCCACCCACCTGGCTGTACAAAACCCCCACCTCACAGTCAGTGTACTTCCCACCCACCTGGCTGTACCAAACCCCCACCTCACAGTCAGTGTACTTCCCACCCACCTGGCTGTACCAAACCCCCACCTCACAGTCAGTGTACTTCCCATCCACCTGGCTGTACCAAACCCCCACCTCACAGTCAGATGGTACTTCCCACCCACCTGGCTGTACCAAACCCCACCTCACAGTCAGATGGTACTTCCCACCCACCTGGCTGTACCAAACCCCCACCTCACAGTCAGATGGTACTTCCCACCCACCTGGCTGTACCAAACCCCCACCTCACAGTCAGTGTACTTCCCACCCACCTGGCTGTACCAAACCCCCACCTCACAGTCAGTGTACTTCCCACCCACCTGGCTGTACCAAACCCCCACCTCACAGTCAGATGGTACTTCCCACCCACCTGGCTGTACCAAACCCCACCTCACAGTCAGATGGTACTTCCCATCCACCTGGCTGTACCAAACCCCCACCTCACAGTCAGTGTACTTCCCACCCACCTGGCTGTACCAAACCCCCACCTCACAGTCAGATCGTACTTCCCACCCACCTGGCTGTACCAAACCCCCACCTCACAGTCAGTGTACTTCCCACCCACCTGGCTGTACCAAACCCCCACCTCACAGTCAGATGGTACTTCCCACCCACCTGGCTGTACCAAACCCCACCTCACAGTCAGATGGTACTTCCCATCCACCTGGCTGTACCAAACCCCCACCTCACAGTCAGTGTACTTCCCACCCACCTGGCTGTACCAAACCCCCACCTCACAGTCAGATCGTACTTCCCACCCACCTGGCTGTACCAAACCCCACCTCACAGTCAGATCGTACTTCCCACCCACCTGGCTGTACCAAACCCCCACCTCACAGTCAGTGTACTTCCCATCCACCTGGCTGTACCAAACCCCCACCTCACAGTCAGATGGTACTTCCCACCCACCTGGCTGTACCAAACCCCACCTCACAGTCAGATCGTACTTCCCACCCACCTGGCTGTACCAAACCCCCACCTCACAGTCAGATGGTACTTCCCACCCACCTGGCTGTACCAAACCCCCACCTCACAGTCAGTGTACTTCCCACCCACCTGGCTGTACCAAACCCCCACCTCACAGTCAGATCGTACTTCCCACCCACCTGGCTGTACCAAACCCCACCTCACAGTCAGATCGTACTTCCCACCCACCTGGCTGTACCAAACCCCCACCTCACAGTCAGTGTACTTCCCATCCACCTGGCTGTACCAAACCCCCACCTCACAGTCAGTGTACTTCCCACCCACCTGGCTGTACCAAACCCCCACCTCACAGTCAGATGGTACTTCCCACCCACCTGGCTGTACCAAACCCCCACCTCACAGTCAGTGTACTTCCCACCCACCTGGCTGTACCAAACCCCCACCTCACAGTCAGTGTACTTCCCACCCACCTGGCTGTACCAAACCCCCACCTCACAGTCAGTGTACTTCCCACCCACCTGGCTGTACCAAACCCCCACCTCACAGTCAGTGTACTTCCCACCCACCTGGCTGTACCAAACCCCCACCTCACAGTCAGTGTACTTCCCACCCACCTGGCTGTACCAAACCCCAACACCCTCCTATCTTCCATACCCCTTCCACAACTCACTATTCTGT